TAGTACATGACAATAGATGAGACACAAGAACAAATGAAAGAAGAACTGTACATCTAACAGGAACAATAACAATAATAATCTTTTTAAATATAAAAATTCTCACTTGTAGATAAAACTTTATTGATAGTAAATTACTATGAGTATACACCTGATACACCAGTTGTCATAATTTCACTGCCATTAGTCACAGGCCTCTTATGCTTGTTACTACTTTCTCAATAAAGTATAGCTTTCACAACACAACATGTGTCTAATATACTCAGTTATCATGCTTACCTAATTGTGAGCATATAACTATTAAGATTTATAGACTAGTGTCCAGTAAAAAATAAAAAAGAAAATTTGTAATAGGAACACAAAGCAAAAAACAAAATTGCTACATTGCTTTGAAGATATTACAGTAATAGATCTACTGTCATTGCATAGTAAGCCCCCACACAAATTTTAAAATGTTCAATTTAATCGAGTTTAATGGGTCATTGCTTAGATGACATATATGGGATATTTATATTCATAGCCCTACATTCAAGCCCACACAACTTTCAGTTTGTTCATTGTCTAACTAGGCTCTCTGTTGAAGTAATGTCTTTCTGTTGTCTATTAGTAATACTGCTATGTTTCATGAGTAATGGAATATTACTGGAGGCTAATGGAGAGTCTTGTACTGAAGGATTTATGGATTATAGTCTTCTACAGGGTAAAGCAACAACTCCATCAGGATCATTACATAATAACAGACTAGCTGAAAGCACTGAAACAAGATGGATCATCATTGAGGACTCTATGGGGAATGATGTCATGTTTACGTGTGCTACAGTTGTAACAGAAATATTGATTGGAGTTGATATAAGAACAGTTTATGATAATGTTGGTAGAAATTTATATCCAAAATTTGAAGTATGGGCTCCAACTAATGATGCTGGTGTGTATAATAGAGTGATGTCTGTTGAAATCAGACTGACTCCTGATAACTTTACAACTAATGGACAGTATCATTTCACTCTTCCTACTCCATTAAATGTCTCCAGTGGATACAGGATTGGTGTATATCAACCTCCTGATGACAGAAGTGTTGTTAGATTCCATTATATGAACCTTCCTACTAATATTGATGGAACAGGAAAAATACAATCAGATAAGATTAATGATACTGACATTAAAATATCAGGAGGCATGAACAGAGATGTTGAATACAAATCATGGAATATACTAATATATCCGATAGTACAGAATACAAGTAATGTAAACAATAATAATATTTAATATTCATGTTTTAATATAGGTTGCTACACTCAACTTTTGCCACCAGAGAGCATAATGGCACCCTATTCTATTACTAATTCAATATTCATTTCTGATACTAGAATATTTCCTGATATAAGGTTCACATGTCATGGTATTATTACTAACTGGATAGTTAATATTCTTGCACAATTTATGCCAGTAATTAAAATAAAACATTCAAATAATCTCACTACTACAGCAGCAACATTGAACACTAGTGCTAGTAATGCTGTTACCATAACTTCTCTTTTATATAATTTTACTATGAGCAATGAGATAACAGTACAGCCTGGTGATATACTGATGATTGAAAGTAATGCTACAAATTATATGTTCTATCAACAATACAATGGACCACACAATTACAGACTGGGGGACAACAATGAGTTAATTGTATTAGATACCAATGACTATCCACTCATCTCAGTTGTAGTAGGTAAAAGTATCATTTTACATCATATAAGTAAATAATTATTTATTTTCATATAGAGCCTTTCACAAATACAGCTACTTCAACAATCAGTAGTACACATATTAATACTGTCACTACTGTGCTTCCATCATCAAGCATACACTCCACAGCTACTGTAACAATGGAATCAATGGAATATACTAAAACTAACTCAATATTAAGTAACAGTCTATCATTGATTATAGGTACTACATCAGTGATGAGTACACCAGTTAGTACATTACAAAGTACAGGGAGTAATACACTAATACTAGCAGGAAGTATTAGTACAGCAGTATTTATATTACTGGTAGTTGCTATACTAGCAATATTAATAGTGAGTGTATTAGTGTGTAGGAAAATATGGTACAGAACATCAAATGGAAATGATACTTTCAGTTCTGATGAAAGAAAAGCTGATATAAATCAACAATCAAATGGTAATGTTTATTATAATAAGTGTGTATGTAAACATGATAAAGAAATCAATTTATAGCACCAAATATGGAAAATACACTATTAGCATCAACTAATCCTGCCTATGGAGTTACTGGGGAAAGTAAGACCTAATGATATTATATGAGTACAATAATGATATTAATATCATGACATAGACTGTAATACTGATGTATCTACTAATCCTGCTTATGGTATTACTGAAAGTAAGATAGACTATTATTATCAATCAATACAACTATTAATAGAATCTGGTGTATCTGCTAATCCTGCCTATGGTATTAACACTGGAGGAGGAATAGAAAGTATGTACATAATAGTGTGTATGGAGATCTATCTTTAATTGAACAAATTATTACTTGTGCATGTGAACAAAGCAATGGCTACATAAAATGATATTACTATCCTTGTGGATCTAATTAGATTTGTATGTGTTTGTAGATGAATTTTAAAAACATGTTGTATTGAATGATACTGATAGGTATCAATGAAGAAGCATTAGTATATGATGAACCAAGAACAATGATGTACAATGAACAAAAGGTAAATAGTCTAGATGCATACTGTCATCTGTCAATTGCCAAGTAGATCTAAATACATCAGAATTAACAGCTATAGTAGCATTGGGTATTATTATTATGCATTTGACAGGTTACAATAATGCAAAATGAAGCGTATGGACAATTATAAAGGAATTACAAACTACATCATCTACATTGACATAATTTAAATTAATTTGTGCTTGTGTGTACTATTATTCTTTAATCAAATAATGTAGTTAATATTAATAAAAACAAATTGATACATCAAACAACTTTACAGGCAGAAATAACTCTAATACATTTTTACAGTCTCATCAATACATGTATACCCTAACTACCGGTATATACCCCAATGAATACTTGGTGCACACGCACAAAATGTACATGCACTCTAACTGCAAGTCTGAAACAGTTTACACAGGATTTTATTGATTGGATCTATGGCTATTTGATGCATTATGCCTTTAAAAGAATTTTATCAATAGCTAGAGATATGTGTGGTCGGCATAAGAATATAATATAAGAAAATGAAAAGCACATTTCAGAAAATGTACAACCATTTTTGATATCAAATAGTCTACTATAATAGATTTCTTGATCTTGTTTGCATCAGCTGAATTTGAAAACTCTGAATACTGATGATGGATGTGGGAGATAGAGATCATTTCTGAGGGCGTGGTTCAGGAGCACAGTGATAAGCATAGAGACGATTGAAGAAATGTCTTCGTGTCTTCTATTACTTCTGTGCTGCTTCATAAGCAATGGGATATTACTGGAGGTTAATGGAGAGTCTTGTACTGAAGGATTTATGGATTATAGTCTTCTACAGGGTAAAGCAGCAACTCCAACAGGCTCCTTACGTAATAACAGACTAGCTGAAAACACTGCAGCAACAAGATGGATCATCATTGAGGACTCTATGGGGAATGATATCATGTTCACGTGTGCTACAGTTATAACAGAAATATTGATTGGAGTTGATATAAGGACAGTTAATGATAATAGAAATTTATATCCAAAAATTGAAGTATGGGCTCCAAAGATTACTCTGCCAGACCGTCGAAAGATGAGGCTGCCGACGATGAATGAGTACACTAGAGAGATGTCTATTGAAATCAAACTGACTCCTGATAACTTTACAACTAATGGACAGTATCGTTTCACTCTCCCTACTCCATTAAGTGTCTCCAGTGAATACAGGATTGGTGTATATCAACCTCCTGATGACAAAAGTGTTGTTAGATTCCATTATATGAACCTTCCTACTAATATTGATGGAACAGGAAAAATACAATCAGATAAAATTAATGATACTAACATTAAAATATCAGGAATGGGCAGAGATGTTGATTATGAATCATCGAGAATACTAATACACCCAATAGTACAGGATACAAGTAATATTAACAATGATATTATTGATTATTTATATTTTAATATAGGTTGCTACACTCAACTTTTGTGGCCAGAGAGCATAATGGTACCTTATTCCATTACTAATTCAATATTTATTTCTGATACAAGAGTATTTCCTGATATAAGGTTCACATGTCATGGTATTATTACTAACTGGATAATTGGTGGCCCCGCACAAGTACCAGTAATTACAATAAGACATTCAAATAATCTCACTACTACAGGAGTAACATTGAACACTAGTGCTAGTAATGCTGTTATCATATCTCAGTATTTATATAATTTTACTATGAGCAATGAGATAACAGTACAACCTGGTGATATACTGATGATTGAAAGTAATGCTACAAATCAGATGTTCTATCAACAATACAATGGACCACACAATTACAGACTGGGGGACAACAATGAGTTAATTGTATTAGATACCAATGACTATCCACTCATCTCAGTTGTAGTAGGTAAGAATAACTTTCATTTGGTATTATGAACATTAATAAATCTCCTATTAGAACCCACATCAGTAACTACCACTAATACATCTTCTAATTACATTACAACATCAACCACATCCTCGATATCTACATCAGATACCACTTCATTGTCATCAGTTATTGGACCTTCATTTAGTAGTAGTATGGCAATGTATACTACTACAGTAACTGCTGTTCCTACTGATTCCATTACTACTGCATCTATTAGTATTGCTTCCTCACTAAGCACTACGATAACTTCAACACCAGGACAAGGCAATGCAGGAAATAGTGCATCTACAATACTAATAGCAATGATCAGTGCAGTCATTGTACTACTGGTAGTTACTATCATAGTAATATTGATTGTCAGTGTGGTGCTATTTAGAAAAAAGAGGAAATTATCACTACCTGTATCATCTACTAGGAATGATAGTAATAGTAATCATGTTTATACTGATGTTAGTAGTACTGGGAATGATAAAGGAAGACTTGGTGCTGTAAACAATCCAAACTATCAACTACAAGGTATACATAATGAGAGCATTTATAGTAAATAATGTACTTTTACTACTAACAAAACTATAATGCATGAATAGGTATATACATATCCTAAGTATGATAATAATGTTAATATTTTTATAGTTTTATATGCTGAAGCAAAGCCTGCATTGAATGAGCATGATGATATGATAGCTAATGCTAGCT